TTTTTTTTTTTTTTTTTCAGTTTTTGGCCAGGCCGAGTTTGAATCCACCACCTCCGGTATATGGGGCCAGCGCCCCAACTTCTTTGAGCCACAGGCGCTGCCCTCTCAAGGCCTTTTCAGCAGCACTGGGAGCTCTTGCTTCCCACTTCTATCTGCCTATGCAGCCTCTTCCTTCTCCTTCAAACTCACTGTACAAGTCAGGACTTTACCGAGAAACAGAACCAACATGGTGTGTGTGTGTGTAGAGAGAGAGGAAGAGAGAGATAGAGAGACATTTATTTTAAGGAATTGGCTCATGTGGTTGTGGAGGCTTGGTGAATCCAAAATCTGATGGGGGTAGGCCAGAGACATCAGCAGAAGAGTTTGTAGGCAGCCAGCTGGCAGAATTCCTTCTCACTCAGGGAGCTCAGTCTTTGTTCTAATAAGGTCTTCAACTGATTGGATAAGGCCCACCGATATTAGGGAGGGTAATCTGCTTTACTTAAAAAAGTCAGCCAATTTAAATGTCAATCTCATCCAAAAAACACCTTCACAGAAACATCCAGAACAATGGTTGAACACATATCTGCGCATCATCGCCCAACCAAGCTGACTCATAAAATTAACCATCACACCTATTCCAGTTCTCAGCTTCTTGACTAATCATATAGATTGTATCAGGCCAAACACTGACTTCCTGTTGAACCAAACTTTTTTTTTTTTTTTTAAGGCAAGCATAAAACAAAGTTTATTGAGAAAGATAGCTTTACAGAGTAAGAACAAGATATAGGCTTAAGGAGCAAGATAAAGACAGCCAACCAACTCCCATTGTCTTGACAGAGAAAAGGCAAAGAGGCTGTTGAACCATTAATTGAGCACTGGCTGTGCACAGAAGCCCTCTCCTGTGTGCAGTCACCTGTAGCTTTTGTCTTCTTTGCCTCTTCGTCCTCTCTGCTCCTCTGAGCTCCACTTTGGAGGTTGGAAGCCCAGGCTGGGCATCAGAGGAGCTTACTGGAAATACATGCTGTTTCACACCTGGGGGTGAAACAGGTCCCCAAGTGATCAGGTGTGCATCCAGGACTGAGGTCCTCTACTCTGTACCCGTCACCCGGGGGAGGGCAGGGTAGGACTCTGCACACCCCAGGGTGGGGGCCTACTTCCTCCCTCTCCCCCCAGGCGAACCCACCGGCCCATCCCTATCCACATCTTCCAGCAGAGCTATGAGGCTAAGAGTGCTCATGCTCACCAGGCTTTCTTTCTGGAGTTCGAGGTAAGGCCTATACAGCCTCAGGCTCAGAGGAGGCAGAAACTGCTGGGCTTCTAGGCTGGGCTGGACATGCCTGAAGTTCTGGGAGGAACTCTCAGCTGTGCATGCACCACCTTTGCCCCTCTCCTGGTGCGGGATGAGGTGGGTCTGCTTCAGCAACCAGTGGCTATCCCTGATTTCTGCAGGAGCTGAAGGAGGTGGGCAAGGAGCAGACCAGACTGGAGGCTGAACACCCCGCCAACACTGCCAAGAACCGTTACCCACATGTGCTACCCTGTGAGCACTGGGAGCAGGAGTAGGGCATGGCAGAGGTCCAGGGCACGGCACAGAGAATGGGGACTGCATGTGCCTGGCACTGAATGCACAGCTTTTCCCCTCTGCAGATGACCACTCCAGGGTCAGGCTAACCCAGCTAGAAGGAGATCCTCATTCTGACTACATCAACGCCAATTTCATCCCAGTAAGGACCACCTGCAGGGCTGTGTATGGAACCTGGGATCTGCTAGGGAGATGGGCTGGTTTATAGGACAAGCCATCCTGCCTTAGATTCACAGGAAGATCCCCAGCTTGTGTTTTGCTAGGTCAACCTAGTAGGTATTTATTGAGGGTCTGCTGTGTGCCAGGCTCTGTGCTGGTCCACAGGAGGCAGTGCTGAGTCAGCACATGGCTGTGGGTGTGTGTCTCTGTGTGTACGCACACGCACGAGCAGGGGGCTAGTAGGAAAGGTAGCCAAGGCTGGGTGAAGGAGGACCTTGATTGTTAGGCTGAAGGCTTTGTATTCTATTTGGTGGGCACTGGGGAGCTGTGGAAGATTTTTGAGCATAGAAGAAACAAAGTTTGGTTTTAGGAAAATCATTCTGATTTGGTGACAAGAGTGGACAGGATACATTTTTTTTTTTAGCACATCGGTATCAAAGTAGTTTATGTAGGTTTTTCTGGCCCATTTGAGGTGGGGCATGGGTATCTCTGAAGTCACCCCTCCTGGACTGAGTTCTGGGTGCATGTATGGGATGTATGTACACAGAGTCTTCAGTCCTGGAGATCATATGGGCTATCTACTGCTGTGTGTTTTGGGACCTGGGAGACCAAAGCATCACCCATTAACTTGTTCCTGACTTCCACCCCTCCATCCCTCAGGGCTACACCAACCCACAGGAATTCATTGCTACTCAGGGACCTCTCAAAAAAACGCTGGAGGATTTTTGGCGGCTAGTGTGGGAGCAACAGGTCCACATCATTGTCATGCTGACTGTGGGCATGGAGAACGGGAGGGTGAGTGCACCTTGCAGGTTCCTGGAGTGGCCACCAGGTGTCACACAGTCTCCTTGCAGGAATGGCCCTGTTGGCATCTTCTATCAGAGATGGTAGGCAGACAGGAGGGAGGCCTGAAGGTTGGTAGGGGTCTCCAAGGTCACTCAGGATGGGGAGGCAGGGGAGGGAGCAGGTACACAAGCTCCCACATAGACTCGGTTTCCATTGGCTTCTTGCTCTAGGCCCAGGAGGCACCAAGAGGTTGGGAGAGGGACAGGAATAAGGGCCACCCAGGGCCGGTGCCAAAGGTAGAGAATTCTGCATGCTTTGGGGGCCAGTTTGGTAGATGCTTCCTCTGTGCCCTGCTCAGTGCAAGGCCCTGGGACAGAGAGGGGCTGCGGAATCTGTCCTCTTGTTGGAGCAGTGGGGCAAGAGCCAATGACTGTGGAATCAGGGCCATCCAGCTTCACAAGGGACCTGCCAGCTAACTCAATGTCCTGAGGTCATATGAGAAGTTGGGAGTGAGGGTGCTAGAGCCCAGCCATCAGGGAAAGGCTTCTGGAGGAAGGGGCCTTGGGGCTGGGTCGGTACAGACAGCAGAATTTCAGGGACCAGAAAGATGGGTGGTGAGGGTCAGGACTGGGTAAAGCAGGGGTGGCAGTAATGGGGCTGGGTCTGTAACTATTCTCTCCAACACTCTGGTCCCAGGTGCTGTGTGAGCATTACTGGCCAGCTGATTCCACCCCTGTCACCCATGGCCACATCACCATCCACCTCCTGACTGAGGAGCCCAAGGATGAGTGGACCAAGCGAGAATTCCAGCTGCAGCATGTGCGTGCTCAAGGGGACAGAGCAGAGTGGGGTGGGCATTCCAGCTGAGTCTCCCTGGGTCCCTGGGACCCTTTCCTTCTGAGGATCACAAGCACTCAGCCACTACAGGGGAAGGGGAAGTGTATGGTTAGGAAAGGGATAGGGAGGCACAGAGAGGGCTGAAGGTTTATCCAGGGTCACACAGTGAGGTGAAGAAGAAGCAGGGTGGGGAGTGACAGTTTCTGCCCTCTCTGTGCTCAGCCTGGGGCTCCTTGCTTCACCTTAAACTCCTGTGCCCCAGGTGCCTTCCCAGGCTGTGGCCTCCTGGGGCAGGAAAGCCAGTGGTCTGGGCGCCCTCTATAGGCAGAGGTTATCAGGAGGCTAGAGGACCCAAGTGCTTAGGAAGCATTAGCCTGAGGGAGGAGACACAGCTGCCACCTTCAAGAAGCACCCAGTCTGAGGCGGGTGGCATCCGCCTGCCATCAGGGAGCTGGATGCATGTGGGGGGGGTGTGGAGGAAGTGTGTGGGCCAGGCAGGGGAGCCTGCAGTTAGGCAGGTGAGGCACAGAAACAGGCCCTCTACACCCTGGCCTCCTTCCTGCCCCCTCCTCAGGTTGCCCAGCAACAGCAGCGGAGGGTGAAGCAACTACAGTTCACCACCTGGCCCGACCATAGTGTCCCTGAGGCCCCCACCTCCTTGCTCACTTTTGTAAAACTGGTACAGGAGCAGGCGAGGGCTGCTCAGGGCGCTGGACCCATCCTGGTACACTGCAGGTGAGGGTGGGCGGGTGGTTGTGAGGGAGGGCTCCCTGCCTGGCCTGCAGTGGGGCTGTCTGGGAGCTGGGGACATGGGGAGCCCCTTCGCCTATTCAGCTCCCTAGGGATTGTCCCTGCAGTGCGGGCGTGGGCCGGACAGGCACTTTTGTGGCCCTCTTGAGGCTGCTGCAGCAGCTGGAGAAAGAGCAGACGGTAGACGTGTTCCATGCTGTGTATGCACTCCGGCTGCACCGGCCTCTCATGATCCAGACCCCGGTGAGGGCCTCAGGACCTGGGCCATCTGGGACCCCAAAGGAGGGAGAAGGAGGTGGATGGCCAGGGGGCCCGCAGGCTCTGGAGATACCAGGAAAGGGAGCTCATGGGGCATACAGAGGACCCTGTGGGGAGGGCCTCAAACATGTCATCATTCTATTTGGACTGCTGCTTCCTTTCTGTAAGAGCCTTGAAACCAAGGCACAACATCGGGAAGGCTCCCCAGTGGCTCCCTCCTCTACCCTGTCTCATTCCTGCCTTGCCGGTTGGGGCCTGGGGAATCTCCCAGCTGGGCCATGCTCTCTAGCAGACTGATGCCCCTCTCACCCTGCCAGAGCCAGTACATCTTCCTGCACAGCTGCCTCCTGAACAAGATTCTGGAAGAGCCCTCTGACATGTCTGAGTAAGTCACAGCTTCCCTTCGTCCCTGGCTGGGGTGGGGCACAGGTTCCCTGTGCCTTCCCACCCACAGGCTTCCTGACTCCTATCTGTGGGCAGATCCAAGCAGACTAGAAGGGGAGCTGGGCAGCCTGGAGAGCCTTCCCCACCTCCGCCCCTCCGCAGGTCCCTGCCCATCTCTGTAATGAACTTTGCGGAGGCATGCACCAAGAGGGCAGCCAATGCCAATGCTGGCTACTTGAAGGAGTACAAGGTGCGCTTCAGGCTAGGGGTTGGATGACAACAGAGGGCAGCCTTTCCCTGCCCAAGTGCCACTCCTGTGAGTTCTGTCCACCTTCAGGGTGCCACCTCCTTCTTAGGTCCTGCTGGAGGCCATTAGGGACAAAGCTGGCTCTTCCACGCCCCCTTCTGGCTATGAGAAGGACAGCGCAGTCTCCAGTGAGTCTCACGTGGACCAAGCAGAGGGACGAGGGGGTAGGGGGTGCAAGTGTGGGACCTCTGGCAGGCTCACCCTCATCATCTTCCCTCAGACTATAGTTCTCCAGTGGCGGAGAGCCCCCCAGATGACATGCCGGAAGCCTGGCTCTTCCCTGTGAGATGATGCTGGCCTTGCTGCCTGTTGCTTACCTTCTCTGGCCATCTGTGCTTCCTGGGCTGGGGCTGAGGCTTCTGGGGGCTCCTGAGCTGTGGGCTGGTCAGGAGTTACCCTGAGTCCCTGGTTGCTAATGAGCTGTGGTTTGCAGGGTGGGCCTTCTGGCCGTGATCACGTGGTGTTGACTGGCCCTGCAAAGCCACAGGAGCTCTGGGAGCTGGTGTGGCAGCATGGGGCTCGGGTGCTGGTCTCTCTGTGCCCACCTGATGCCATGGAAAAGGTGAGGGAGCAGGGGGACAAAGGAGGGGGAGACTCAGGAGTTGGGGCAGGAGATAGGGAGAGCTGGTTGTGGTATCTGTGACCAAGGCAGGGGCAGAGACCTCAGGAAACTGCCTGAACAGCCCTGATTCCATCCCAGCCACAGGAGTTCTGGCCAACGGAGATACACCCCATCATCACAGACTTAGTGACTGTGCGCTGGATGACTGAGAGCAATACAACAGGCTGGCCTTTTACCCTCTTTAGGGTCACACATGTAGGTATTAGGGCCACAGTATGGAACGGTGGGTTGTGTGGGGGAAGAGTCCTGTGCCGGCTTCCCTCTGCCCTCCTCTTTGCCACAGGCGGAGAGTGGGAAGGAGAGGCAGGTGCGGCGATTGCAGTTTCCATACTGGGAGTCTGGGCATGAGCTGCCCCCCAGCACTCTGCTGTCCTTCCTGGCTGCTGTGAGCAAGTGCTGCTCCCAGGGCAAGAGCAAGAAAGCAGGCACACTGCTCAGCCACTCCAGGTGCTGCTAGACAATGATTTGGGAAGGGAGCGGGCACTAGAAAGGCCTCACATCTCACTGAGCACTTCTTGGGTTATGGGTCTCCCAACGCCTCTGTCTTCTCTGCACCTGTCTTCTCTGGACCAGGGATCTGGCCCAGATTTGCTGGCTGAGTATTCAGCGTCCCTGCTGAGTCCCTGGGCCCAGGTTGGGTTTCCATGCATCCTAGGATACACCCAGCCCCCCCTCCTCCAGGTATCCTATCCAACTCTATGTCAATTGCAGCAAGGGCGCACCCCACTTGGGCACCTTCCTGGCCATGGAACAGCTGCTGCAGCAGGCAGGGGCTGAGTGCACTGTGGATGTCTTTAACGTGGCCCTGCAGCAGTCGCAGGCTTGTGGCCTCATGACCCCAACGCTGGTGAGAGGCTCAGCTGTGGGAAGGGGTGGAGAGACCCAGAAGCTTCAGCACCAGCTTCTAGGCAGCATCACTTAAGCAGCCACCAGGTGGCGCTGTGGACTGCAGTGCTGTCTCTCAGACTGCGCACTAGGAGTGGCAGACACAGGGAGCCCTTAGGTTTGGGCAGGCAGAATGAGGCTCCTTACTCTGTGTCTGCCCCTAGGAGCAGTATATCTACCTCTACAACTGTGTGAACAGTGTGCTGGTGGACAGGCTGCCCTGAGTCCCTGCTGGTCACCATGCTGTGCTGGAGCAGAAGAGGTCTGTGCTCTGGCTCAGCCTCCCTGGAAGAGCAACCTCCACTGGGCCCTGTGCTGTGAAGGGGCAGAGTTGGGGAATAAAGACATGGTAGAGTCTGAGGCTGGGTGTGTTCTGTCTGCTCTGCCATGGGGCCCAGCACATGGGCCTTGTGAGCCATCTGGGACACATTGGCTTTGCCTGGGAGCAGCCCTCTACCGGCTCATCCTCCAATTTCCCACTTTCCTCAGACTTCAGTCTCTCCACCTCTAATTTCCTGTGGTACTGAGCTGCAGATTCAGAGTCTCAGTTTCTTTTCTTTTCTTTCTTTTTTTTTTCTTCCAGTACCATTCTCTTCAGGTTTATTTTTTATTGTTCCCCTGCCCTGCACCCACCTCCCCTGTATGCATTAGTATTTATCCTGTTCCCCATTCCTCTCTCCTGCCATCCCCAGCCTTTTCTACCCACTGGGGTGGAGGTGCTAGAACCATACTGTGACTTGGAAGGCAGGGGCTGGAAGTACCCCTGAGGCAATATGGACAAGTTTTCCCTCCTCCTTCATTCTCCCCTCCACACTCTACACAGAAAGGAGGTAGGGGAAAAAGCAGTGGGGAGATGTGGAGAATGGAAAAACGAGGAGAAGGCAGAGACCAGAAAAGAGGGAGCACACTGTTCATACACATTAGGCCTGGATTTCACAGCACATGAGTGATTGCTGATGGCCTTGTGCACTCCTGCCTGTCTCTCTGGTTGTACTGCAAGGTTATCGATGAAAGGATGTCTGATGCTGGCCACTGATTGCTCCTGATAGAGGAGCCCTTGGAAGACAAAGAGAAAGCTTGGACAAATCAGAGGAGAATCCCTGAAATGGATTTAGGACCACCCCCCCCAATGGGTAAGGAGGCAGAGCTCCTGGGCCAACCTGAGTTCCTAGAAATGTGCAAGGGGTCAGAGATTAGGGAAGTGTCAAGCTTGGTTGAAGAAGGGGACAGAGGTATTGTAGGTATTGCTTTCTGTTCAATCAAGAGCCTTCCTGGAATGGGGCTAGGCTCTGGTGTTCTTTCCAGGAGGACGGAATGTTGATAACATTTTCATACACTGTGTTTGTCAGAAACCCCAGGGGTTGGTCTCACAATAACCCTCACATGGGGACTCAGCTCTGAGCTTCTCAAGCTCATCTCAAGGGGCTTGTCAGGGCTCAACCATGATTTTTCCCTCCTGGGCCCCTCACATTGGAGGAGCAGGAGCTGCAAATAAACAGGGATGACCCAAGGCTATGGATGAGTGAGGCCAGAAACTCAGGCCTGCCTGAGGTGGTTTTCTGCCACAAGGCAGAGGTGACTCTATCTGTGGGTCTTTCTGGTTGTGCACAGCCATCTTCTGGCCTTTCTAGGAGGCTCATCTACTTTTGAGGCCATGGCCTCAATTGGGGGGCCTGGGTTGGGGGCTATTTTCTTCTTGGTCCAGCTGTGCAGCCTTTCTGGCCCTAGGAGGTTAGCAGAGTGGCGAGGCACTAATGATAGGTCCTGGGATATGGAGGTACAGGATATAGGGAATCCTGGATCCCTCTGAGATCCCAGGTTTCTGGTGTATACTCTGTATGGACCATGGGGAGACCAGGCAAAAATAGGAGGAAGGTGGCACACAGCCTGTCCCAGCTCTGCACCAGAGCCTGGTTCAGCCTAGGAGAGACCAGGGAAAGCAAGAAGGAAGCAAAGTCATCCTCGTATGGTCTCAGAAGGGAACAGGGCTTGACTCTAGTTTTAACTCCCATTCCTTCTGCACCCTGGGCTTCTGGTGCTGGCCAGGGTAGACCTTGGATGGGATTTGTGCCTCGTGGTGGCGGAGCTGCAGCTTCAGCATCCAGCCTCCAGGGGGCACCAATCTGCTTATTTTCAGGCACCTCTGACAACCAGCTGGGCTGCCCACAGCACCTCAGCCTGCCTGGGTCCTGGAGCAGAGGTCAGGGTGCTCCATAGGCCTTAGATTAGCCTGAGGCTGCATGAATGCATTCCATCCAGGGCACACTCAGTGGGTGGAAACCCAGCCTCGTATCTGTGGAGTCAGGGCATGGCTGCTCAATGAGGAGACCCTCCCTTTGTCCTCTGTCATCCCAGCTGACACTGGCGCCCTCAACAGCCTAACCTGTTCCAAGACAGCCCCTCACTCCCCTCTGTCTCCCAGGAACAGGGTGAGGAGGGCTGGTCTGCGTCCTAGGTCTCGGGCTGCCCCCCATCAGCCACGTGACCTTGAACAAATCACTTCTCTTAGCTCTGTTTGCTCCAGTGTAAAACGTGGTAGAGGGATTGGGGGGCCTACGGGAGCTGTACAGTTTTGAAAGGCCCTCCTCTGGGTCCATGTGACCCCGTGGCCCTTCCCTAAGGCAAGAAGGTCCTGAGCTCCACTAGCCCAGGCCCTGGAGCACGCTTTCCAAACAAGTGCAGGTCCCTGACATGCTGAGCTTGGCTCGCCTGGGTTTCTTTGCATGCTTTCTTCCTTTTTTTTTTTTTTTTTCTTTCCTGGATGAAATTCCTGCCAGCTCGGAAGGAAGGAGAGAAGGGGAGTGAGCCGCAGTGTAGAAAGTTTCCTTGACTCCTCCTCCGCCTGGGTCTCCCCCCCTTGCCAAGCCCAGCCTGTGAAACTGAATAACGAAGATCACTCAACAATGCCTGCCCCTCTCTGACTGCACGGTCCCCGCGCTCCCACCGCTGCCGCTGACGCCAAGCAGAGCCCGTGGGACAGTCCCCACCGACGGCGCAGCCCGCCAGCCAGCGCAGCCCCGCCGCGGAACCGCGAGGCCAGCAGTGGCGGCCACCGCGCCCGTGCGCCCGCACGCCCACCAGGTGCCCCGGCAGCCGGGTGGCCGAGATGCCCAGCCCGCGCGGGCTGCGGGCGTTGTGGCTTTGCGCCACGCTGTGCGTCTCCGTGTGTGCCGGCGATGCTCCCCAGCCCGGCCCGGGGCCTGCCGTCTGCCCGGCCCCCTGCCACTGCCAGGAGGACGGCATCATGCTGTCGGCAGACTGCTCTGAGCTCGGGCTATCCGTCGTCCCGGGGGACCTGGACTCCCTGACGGCTTACCTGTGAGTACTTGCCCGCGCGTCCCTCCTGCTCCCGCTGGCTGCGCGCTCGCGCCCTGTCGGTGCCTCAGTCTAGGGCACCTGCCGGGTTGGTGCCCTGGGGCATGGGCATCCCGGACAAGCTTCTTCCCTTTCTGAGTCCAGCTGCTCCGAGACTGGGGAGGAAAGAGTCTGGGACGAAAGAGCAGGCAAGTTGTGAGCCTAGGCATCCCTTACTTGGTTTCCCAGTTGGCTCCTATGCTTAAGGGTACAGGGTGAGTGCCCAGGTTTGGTAAGGTGGGTTCTGGACCTTGACTGAGTAGGAGGGACACGAGCTTGACTGCCTCTTTTCCTCTTCCTGCATTCTCCTACAGCCAAGCAGTGCCCAGGCTAGTGGCTGAGGTGAAGCTGACTGAATTGGTGATGGAGGTGAGGGGAGAGTGCCCTAGTGGAGTGGAAATAATGTCTGTTCCTTTGTCATGGCAAAAGGAGCAAAGCTGTCACACTGAGACTGGGTGGCCTAGAGGGAGGGGGTCCCAGAGCTGTGAGGGGAACCTTACCCACTATTGTCTCCTCAGAAAGGGGCTCTGCCAGCATCATCTCCCTTCACTGAGGCCTCCTGACTCCCCCTGGGGCCTCCGTGAAGTCATGTCCCAAGAGGCAGTGTTGGAGACACTAATTTGTGGGCAGGCGCCGAGGCTGAAAACCAGAGAACCATTTTTAGCATCTGAATTGGGGTGAGACAGTGCGTGAAGGGGACCCTACTGGGGGCAGCTGTTGTAAGGACAGCTCATAGGAGCTTCCCCTCAGAATCTGAGAGCTGGGGATCTCTGGTTCTTCATCACGGGGGCAGGAGGAGGGTGTGGGAGCACGTTCCAGACACCCCCACATCCCTTCTCTAGGGAAAGGAGACTCCTCCTGCCTAGTCCTGTCCAGACCCAACATCTTTTCTCAATGGAGGTAGGGCGGCCTGGAAAACTGGGGGACATCAGCTGAGGGGTAGGACTCCAGAGCTCCTTCTGGCCTGACAGAGGCAGAGGCCCCTCATGGATTTGGGTTCCCAGGATTTGGGAGCTTGAAGGAAGATGGAGCTGAGCTAGACCGTATAGGGGCTCTGTAAGAGTTTGTTGAATTAAATGAAACCAGGGCACTCAGTGTTGGCCATGTCTTGGTGGGATAGAGAGGATCCCAGATTGCATCTCTTCACTGGGCTACCCGCCTAATCTCCCTATCCCCAGAGGGGGTGTCTCCTCTAATCCAAGGCACAGACTGTGGACCAGGGGAGGGAGTGAGAAGGAAGAAATAATGTACATATTCCAAAAGGGCAAATTGAATCCTTTACAGTCCAGGAGTGATAGCAGAAGCAAACTCAGGAATACAAGACAAGAACTTAGCAAAGCCCAAGGGGTGCCAAGGGAGTTTCAGCAGTTGGCGGAGGGCAGGCTCTGGCCCCACCTTTACGGCAGCCAGGGCAGCCTCACTTTTAGCAGTTATATATACTGAGGGTATATGGTATGTCTCATGTGAAGACAAGAGTCCTGGGGCTGCTAGCACAGCACTCCTTTCCTAGCACTGAAGCCTTCCTAGACTGGTTGATGGTCCTACTTCTGGAAGGACTTGGAGGGAGGAGGTACTGTACTACCTTTGCCATTGTGCAGATTGCCCCCACTATCTTGTCACAATTTCCTTGGAACTATGAAGTCTGTATTTGGGTTGAGTAGAGGTGAGATTTTCTAAACTGGTCCTGTACCCACCTCTCTCTTAAGACTCAGAGTATGCTGCTGAGAGTGGACAAGGGGAAGAGAGAGTGTGGGTCCCACGGAAATGGGCGGAATTTAGTAGTCGGGGCTAGAATATTGAATAGAGGTGGCAGAGGTCCATGTCTCCTACTTTGGGCTGTGGAGGGGGTCCCATCTAGATGGTGCATGAAGGGGTTTCTCTAGTTGTCCTGAGAGCAGCTCAGAGAAGAAGACTTCTTTCTGTGTCTTCTCAGGAGCACCGGCCAGCCATTTATGCATCTTCAGGTGGGGTGAGGTTTGTCACTGAGAAGAGCCAGGGCAGGGAGGTCTTAGGGCTCCTACTGGGCCAGTGTTAGGAAATGCCCAGCCTGGCCTTGCCCCATGTAGCCTAGCCCGTGCTGAGAACAATGCAATCTGCATCTGATGGCATATCCAGCAGTGCCTCTCTGTCTGGACCATCCGAACCTTGGTTCTTTCCTAGGTCTGCCCCTTACTGAGAGTCACTGGACACTTCTAAGTCTCAGGTTCTTCATGTGTATATGAAGAGAAGAAAATGCTAGAGGATTAAATGAGATGATCTGGACATATAAGTATGTAGTATAATGCCTGGCACCAGGGGTGACCTTGAAATGGTTGCTATTATTATCATGCCTCCAGTTGGGGGGCCCATGGAGGTAGAGGTAAGGCCTCTCCACACAGCAGGGAAACTGAGCCCACTAGGTGGGTGGAGACCTCAAGGAGGTGGTTTGTGGCAGGAGGAAGAGAGGTGTGTGTGGAGAGTTGACTGCAGGGTCAGTGTTTGGCTCATTCTTGGGCCTGAGGGCCTAGCCAATAAGTGAACACTGTGGGACAAGGATTAGGGGAGGGTGGGAACTTGCGTACTCTTGACATAGGGTTGAGAAGGAAAAAGTAAGGTTAAAACACTTGGATGTGGAGGAAGTAAGAGGGTAGAGAGAACTTCAAGATCCTGAGAAGGTGGCATGGATGGAACCACCAGAGGCACCAAGAAGACACCTGTGCATCCTTACACATTCCTTGACTTTGCCCCTATAAAAATCACTTCCCATTTCCCCCCACTCCAGGGTTGTGAGGTTTCCTCCTATTAGCTAGTGCCCTTCATGAGGTGAGTGCCTCCTCCTCCCTGCATCTTGGTTCTAGGGAAGACTAGAAAATCTTCTTTGTATCTAGCTGGTATTTCTCATCTTGACACTCATGTCCAAAAACCATTACTACTTTGGAGTCCAGTGCCAGCCCTGTTTGATAATGGTTGGGAGAATAGACTCCAAATACAATCCTTCAAGTGTCTCTCTCTTTGAAATCTCCCAAACCATAGTCTCGCTGAAGCTCATTGAGACTCCCTGGGGGTTGGACATCCTTCTTGGGTGGGGTTTGTTCTGGGAATGGACCTGGGGGGTGGTGGTTGAGTCCCTGGCACTGGGACATTCCAGCCTGATGGTGATGAGAAGGCACAATGCTTCTTGCTCTACTCCATCACACATGTACATGGTGAGGAGACAGAAGTGTACAGATTGCAGATGCTGGCAAATAAAACCCAGAGTTGTCCCAGAGCAGGAGAATCTGGGTAGTTACTCTGAGTCTCTTTTTTGTCCCCCAAGATGAGCAGTATTGGGAAACAGATGGTATGAGAAAAGGTGTCTTGCCAGCTAGTTATAAAAGACCTGAGGCTCCTGTACTTGCAGTCCTCCATAAGCACCCATTTCTATCACCTACTGCCACCATGGCCAAGGGAGGGGCCTCCCCACACAACCCCTGCATCAGACTGCATATTGCTTTCTTGGGAATTCACTCCTTTTTTTTTTTTTTTTTTTGAGACAGAGCCTCAAGCTGTCCCCCTGGGTAGAGTGCCATGGCATTACAGCTCACAGCAACCTCCAACTCCTGGGCTCAAGCGAGTCTCCTGCCTCCGCCTCCCAAGTAGCTGGGACCACAGGTGCCCGCCACAACGCCCGGCTATTTTTTGGTTGCAGCCGTCATTGTTGTTTGGCGGGTCCGGGCTGGGGAATCGAACCCGCCACCTTAGGTGTACGTGGCTGGCGCCTTAGCCGGTTGAGCTATAGGTGCCGAGCCGGAATTCACTCCTTTTAAGATCGCCTGTGATAACCACTGGACTTATTCGAAAGGTCAGATGGTATGTGTATGTGTGTCTGAGTAGATTCAGGGTAATTTGCAGCCTCCTCACTGCTACCTGGGGATGTCTGTCTATGATCAAGAAGATGGAGTCAGGATGCTGGGGGCAGGGATCAGAGGGGTTGAGAGAACGGACATTGGCCACAGAGAGCAGGGTTCAAGTCATCACCTACTAGCTGTGTGAACCCGGGCCACTTGATCAGCTCCTCTGTGACTCAGTTTCCCTCTTAATCTGTAACTGGAGTTAATATTTACCTCCTAAGGTTGTCACGTGGATTCACTGAGGTAATGTTTGTAAAAGGGTTTGGCATAGTGTCTGGTCCCTAGAAAGAGCTCAGTAAGTGTTAGCCAGTGTTGTTATTAGGATGACCAGGGCCAGGAAACGTTAGTCCTGGAAGTCTTCCTGAGGAGGGGTCCTAGAGCCAGCATGGGAAGTGGAGGACTGGCACTGTTCTGTGAAAGGTGAGGGATAGGGTGCGTGTATATGTTGGGGGCTGTGAGAAGGAGGGGAGTGGCTGGAAAGGAGATGAGATGAGCCACCCTGGGGACCTGAGGAGATAAGTTTTTTTTCCTGGCTGGTACAGTCTTGGAGCTTCATGGCAGGCAAGGGAGCAATTGCTGGGAGACCCCAGCTTACTCCCCAACACATTCTGGGTGGGCCCCTGCTGGAGCTGTTAGGTAAGGAAGCAGAAAAACATGTGGTCTCAGTGGGGGAGAGCTGGCTTTGGGACGGGTGCACTGGGGGTCATGGTGCCAGGTCTCATTCTTACTTTCAAGGCTACCTTTCCCAGGCCCCGTCTTGGTCACCCTTCCTAGTAGATTTTTAGAACCTGATCCCTTCTGCCAGAAATTTAGGGTTTGTGAGTTCTAATCCTCAGTCCCTGAGTTACTATGAGACCATGTGCAAGTCCCAAAACTTCTCTGGACCTCATTTTGGCTGAAAAACTGGAAAGTGGGAAAGGCAGAAAGCAATCTTCTCTGAATCTCCTGTTCCCAGCAGGACAGAGAGAGCTCCCCTGGGGAGAGCGGCTGGTAGGCAGGAGGAAGGAGGGAAGGGGAGAGCCCAAGAAGCACCCAGACTAGGGTAGAGAAGAAAGGGTGAAGGAGGGGCACAGTGATTCCAGGATATGGGGTCCT